TGTTTGCGGTACTCAATAGGTATACCTTGTTCTTATATTTCGCCCTGTTTGTCCTATGTAACTGTGTCGGCACTCGCAGGTTAACTTGTAAACACCCTGTTTATCTAGCGGGTCTTCCTCGCTTATTTTCTCTTTCAATATATTTCCCACTGTGTTCCTTGTTTTAAATGATGTCTGAATGTCGTACTTATGAAAGAATTTGGCAAGTTTGTAAGATGTCTTTCCTGTGTAAGTTAGAACTGCCCAAGTTTTTTTTATTGTTTTCCTCTTTGCTAGTCTTTTTCGATTTTGTGTCCTTTCTTAACTTCTCCACCAGGCATCTCCTATATCCGTTATTTTCCGCAATGGCATATATTTTATCCAGTTCCTTCTTGTAGCATTCTTCTGTTAGAGGGGTCCTTTCAAGCCTCGATATTAGTTGTCTAAATGCTGCATTTTTGTGTTGCTGTGGGTGGTTTGAGCTATTGTGTATAATTGTGTCTGTGGCTGTTGGTTTTCTGTATATTTCGAACTCTATCTTGTTCGTGGTATCGTTTATTTTTATTGTTAAATCCAGATAGTTTATCTTTCTTTCCTCTTCCGTTTCCATGGTGAATTTTATATTCTGGTGTTGTTTGTTGAGATAGTCTAGTATCTGTTTCTCTTTGTTTCCCTCTATTAGACATATTACATCATCGACATATCTCGCGTAGAATTTTACTCCTAGGTTGGTCGATAGGTTTTTCATGTATTTCTCCTCCAGTGTTTGCATGAATACTTCCATGAGTATTGCTGACGTCGGATTGCCCATTCCTAACCCGTTAATCTGTTTATATATCTTATTGTTGAACCGGAAGTAGTTTTGTTTTAATGTAACCTTCAACGCGTTTATTATTTCCGTGACAGATTCTCTTTTCATTTTTCCCATCAGTATTTCTTGTACGGTCTTTATGGTGTCTATTGTTGGTATCTATTGTTGGTATCGATGGGTAAAGGTCCTTGATGTCGAATGATACGAATTTAGTGTTTTCGTTGATCTTCAACGATTTCATCTTCTCGATTAGTTCCGTTGTATTTGTAATAGTATATTTATTGCGTAGATCCAGACTATCCTTCAGCAGCGTCTTTAGGTGCTTGAAGAGTCTGTATCCGGGAGCAGACTTGTAATTAATGATAGAGTCTCATCGGGGTGCCTGGTTTGTGTGTCTTCGGCAAGGCAATCAACGGAGGGACACTCGGGTTCATAAGTGTTAGTCTATATGGTAGATTATCCTTTATAATGGTTGTGCTTTTCTTTATGGTATTCTTTATTGCTGCTTGGTATTCTTCAGTGGGATCTTTTCCCAATTTATTGCACCCTATTTCAGTTATTAGATTTTCAGTTTTCTCTATGTAATCTTTTTTATCAATTGATACGGTGGTATTGCCTTTGTCTGCTTTTGTGGTTATAACATTGTTTGCCCTTAGCTTTTCTTTGAGCCCTTTTATGGTTTGGTTTTCGTTCTTCTACTTCCTAGTTTTCTTGGCATTTATGTCTTTTTCAATTATGTGCCGACATATGTGTCTGGCGTGCTCCTGTTCTTCAGTTGGAAGCCGTGATATAATAACCTCAGTATCCACGATAGTTTGTTCAAGTTCCCTCTTTCGGTTGTAACTTTCAATGTTGTGTTTGAGGCCTTTTTTTAATAGTTCTGCTTCTTGCTCATTGATGTAAACCTCCGTCAAGTTTACAAATCGGGAGTGGAATTTCTGTTCTGCATCTTTCATGATTTTGTGGTTGCTTTGCTTCGTCCTCAAGTTAACGAGTTTCTTGTTCAACCTTTCATACTTCTTCATGAGTTTTTTATTATTGGCTTTTATTTTCTCTATTATTTCCATCAAGGTTTGGATTGGCAGATGCTCCGCTAACTGTAGGTGGATGGCCAATAGCTCCGCATTTGTATGTTCCTTTTTGGCGTGCAAGTTTTTTAATTCACATTGGATGTAGTTGTTCTTGGCTCTCCTAACAATTTTCTGACTCGCTGCTGTTTTTGATTTCGGTTTCATTTGTGCGTACTTTGGTATAATATTCATAGCAATACATTGTTTATTAAACCAAATATTGGCGTTTGTGTTGTTGATCTTCAGTGAACGTCGTTGGTATACAGTCAATAGTAAGTTGGTTTTGGAATAATAAGCCTGACTGGCATAAATATTTCCTTTTTGGTTGTTGTTGTTTCCGACAGGGTGGGTGTATGATGTATTATGGAACGAGTTTCCGTCATCCCTTGTCAAATTTGGTTTGGAGACAAACCGGTTTCGGGGTTGTGCCATCTTCAGTGTCGTTTTTCGTTCTGCATAATTTTTGTTGGTTGCTCGTATTTATACTCCTTGTTAACTACCTCTTTCTTTTGTTAGGTACGTCTTTTTAGTTTTGCAGTGTTTGCGGATGAATGTATGGTGTCAAGTTAGCACTACATACTAAATTTTGTTCGAAAAAGGGTCAACTCAATTTTTTCCAGAAAAACAGACTATAAAATTCACGACTTTCAACTATTTTGTTAGAAATTTTTTTCCCAGAGTGCATATGGTTTTCTAAATTTTCAAATGCAACGCGCAAGTACTTAGAGTTATCATATTCGAATAAAATTTTGCACTGCTTATTTTTAGACCAAAAGACATCTTTTTGAGCCCGGCAAACTGTATATTTAAAAAAATAGTTAAAATAACGAACGGTCTAATGTACCTGCATATGTATGTATGGATGTACATTAGGGTGGTCCAAAAATGCATGTGAAAAAGTAAAGTCGTAATTTGTATGCTCTCACCCCTAGGATTGTTCTGTACCGGAAAAAATGTTCCCTTATTTTTTTATTTTGAAATCAAAAAATATTTAGAGGTCGCTCTAAGCGCTCAAGGTTTTCCATGTATTTTATATGGGGAAAAAACCAACTTTTCGTAGCTGTGCCAATCCTTCTGAAATTTTTCACACATGGCCCGTAGTTGTAGTCAAAATTAAGTCAACTCTTAAGTGATTGCTCTTTTTGGCATAATTTTGAATGGGATATCTGTCAAAACGGCTGAAGCTATCTTAACACTCAGAAAAAACTGTCCTTGATGCTAGGAAAAAGTATATTATTCTAAGGAAATATTACCTCAAATGGCTCCAAAGACATGACCGCCTTAATATGAATAAACGATTTGACTCAGTTTAAGGAAAATACAATTCCTTAGTTTTCAGAACTATTTTCTTTCTTAGGAAAAATTAACTTGCCGTGAAAGGAATAAGTATGTAATTTTGCTCGCGGCGCTCAAACGGTCGCAATAGCCGACAGAGCAATGCTCTGGAGTGCTAGTCGAAAGATGTAATTTCGAGTCCCAGAGCAGGAAATTTTTTATTTTTATTTGTAATTTCTTAAATTGTATTTGAAAAAAATGATCTCATTTATTTTTATGGTATTTGAGTATTTAGATTTTTCCATATACGAAATTAATTTTACAATTTGTTACTTATATTTAAATTGAAATAATTGACTTACCTTACACTAACAAAATTATTACTTATATTGAGTAAATTTACTTCCTCAAATTAATGACGCACTATTTTTAGCATGAAAATACACTTCTCAACTTGAGTAAATTTTTCGTAATATTAAGGAAAAAACAGTATATTTGAAATAAGGAAACTGGTTTCTTGTTTTAAGGATATGCTTTTTTGTGAGTGTCCAGTCAACTTTATTTTGCCTATACCTACGGGCCTATTTCTTTACGTAATGCTGTCGGATTATTATTTTTTTTTTATTTCAAAGCGAAAAATTAAGATGTACATTCATAAGCTTAATCGCCAAAAAAGTTGGAAACTTGCTTTTTACGTAACGAATTAATCTTATCCCCCCTTAAAGCATGTAGTTTAACGCGCCTGTCAAGTGAAAGAGGTCTTAACGTAGTGATAAGCACTTCATCAATAAAAGTTATTTTAATTTTTCCATATCTTTGTAGATAAGTGTATTTGTATTTGATATTTTTAAAATGTAAACCTTTTTTTTAACTTTTTCAGCTGGTTTCACTGGAAAGAGAACAAATTCTGCAGTTGGAGTCATATTTAGCAGCGCAAACTTCCCAAGCTATTATAACTGAGGATAATGCAATATTAATCTCTCAGTTAATACTTATGGATCCAATGGGACAAGTTCGAAAAATTCCTAATAACGTATTAGAGCAAGTAAAGGGACTTAATAAAACTTTAAAGTTGGGATATCTTTTATGTCGCTGTCGTAGACCCGATTTACTGCTTGACATAATTCAACGGCAAGGTACAACTAAGTCGATGCCTTGGCTTTCAGACCTGGTTCAAAGTAGCGAAGGCGACTTTAGTCATCTTCCGGTACAATGCTTATGCGAGTTTTTGTTATTTAACCCCAACTTAATAAATGAAGAAAACTCCCGGGATGTGGAATTGGTTTCCTACCTAAGAAACCTAGTAACGGAAGAAAATGCTGAGAAAAAAACAGTTTGTGAAGTTTTAGACTATATATTTCGCCGACTATCATCAACAGTAAAACAATCGCGCATCGCTGCAATATCCGGTCTTAAAATTATTTTTAATGACAACACTCAACAAAATGATTGGTTATTAAAATCAATTCCACAGATTAGGTGTTTTAGAGAAGCTTTATCTTTTATGATACCTCAATTAAGATCTGCATGTCAAGTTGAAAATACCCCAGCTCTGGTAATGTCTTATATTCAATTTGTAGCAGCACATACTATAAACGATGGAGTCATTGACATGCTAGACCATGTTATTGATATGGCACAGTTGATTGTAGAGCGAAGTACCATGTTTCAGCATATTATACCTGCAACTGGAGATTTGTTACTTGGATACAACAATGACAACCTCGCTGAATGCAGATTTCAAACGCTCAAATGTCTGTTTGTTATGTTCAATAATTACATAATAAGACTGAGAGAACACCGAGAGCCATATGAATGGACGGAATACCCTGACTTACTTATGGTTCAGTTCGAAGATGGTGCGCAATTGCCTTTGCATTTAAACATAATACATGCCTTCATAATTCTGCTGACTCAGTCTAGTAGTCAAATGAGCGAATCTCTTCCTATTCTGGACTATTGGTTTCCTCCTGGGGGACGACCCCCGTCTGGATTTTTACCGAACATGCCTCATGAGTCAGTTCAGCTATTGCCTGATTGGTTAAAGCTAAAAATGATTCGCTCCTCCGTTGATCGTTTGATTGAAGCCGCTTTGTTAGACCTTTCTCCCGATCAAATAGTTTTGTTTGTACAAAATTTCGGAACACCAGTAATTTCAATGTCAAAGTTATTGGCCCTTTTAGATCACGCCGTTAACGAAGAACTAGAACTAGTAAAAAATGCAATACTTAACAAAGCTTATTTAGCACAACTTATTGAAATTCAGCAAAAGCGTGGAGCTAAAAATGGTCATTTTACTGTAAAAGCTCTTGAATTATATTCTCATTCTCAAACAGTTCCTGACCATTCAAGACAAAGTGAAATTATTCTAAGCCACCTCAATTTGCACAAAAACTTCCAGTCAATAAATCTTACTACATGCTACTATAGAGGTAGTATAGACATTGAAGAGATAATTGGAAATGCCTTAAGAATTTCACATTACCATTACAAAAACATTAACCAATTTCGAAAGTTAATTCAACATTTTCTTTCTAGAGGAAGCTGTTTTTCAAAAAACCGGAAAGAAGTTATCATGAGTCATTTGAAAAGGGGATGGTTATGCGTTTTACGAATCATAGACCAGTGTAACCATTCAATATCTCAAGAATTAACGTCGCAAGTAAAACATATTTGTACACTACTAAGAGTTCTAATAAAAGAAAAAGGCTTAGCTTCAGATGATTTTGATCTTATAATAGGTAAGCTTTACGAATTCGAGTCTTTATGGAAAACTACTTGTCTTAATTCAAAACGAAATATCCGCATGTACATTAAAAGTTTATTTATTATCATAACTAGAAGGGAAATTCAGGGTCTTCAAAAACCTTCAGAACAATATGAAAAAGATGAAAGCAATCAAATATTATCTGAAACCCAAAAGTTATTCGGTATCAAAAGTGAGGGGTTATTACCAAATATAACTGTTGAATGCTTATGTCGTTGTGGATTAATTGTAGATAGACTGTGCGAAATAGACCCGGAATTCGTATATTTAACTAAGGCCGATCATACATACAAATTATTCATGAAAAGTTGCCTTGATTTTCGTTTTCATATACTTTCTTTGATATGCCATCAAACAAGCTGGGACACTTTGCTGATAAATTTGAAGCTTTTGGTGCGAGAAACGCTACAAAATATTGATCATAGCACTGCTCTTAATTTTATTGAAGCGCTTATCAATAATCCAAAGCTATGGCAAGGTCGAGACAAATGTGTATCAAAAATCAATTTTCCTGAAACAATGTTTTTATTTAATGAATCTCAATTGTATACCTTAATTGGTTTTATTTTAAATGAAGCTGACTTGAATCAAATGTTAGAAATATATGACTATAAACTTTGTTCGCGCATTAATCTTCTCTTCAGAGTTACTAGCAAAAGACATAAATATATTTCCAATTTAATTGAATATGTACTCAGAATATCATGTTCCCATGCACTGAAACTAAAAATTATCCACCAAATGTATCTATTGCACCCTTCTATTCGATTCATGACAAATAATTTAAAGGAGCATGTTACTAAAATATCTACTTTAAGAGGCTGTAAGGCTGATAAAGTGTCAAATTATTTAATTACTTGTCTTGGGAATCTCTTCCTAAAAAAAGATTTTGAAACCCTTTCTAGTGATATTGAGATGTTAATAAGAAAGTTTGCTGCATCGCATCCAATTTTATTTTTGCGCCAGTTAGGCGTGTTGTCTTCTTTGATTCAAGGTCGGGCCCAATTAGGTGTTCGTCTTCTGCGTGATGAATACCATTTCCACCGGTTTATACAAATTCTTCGTGCTTTGCAACTACTACAACCTATGTTATTTGACGATTGTTACAAAATTGAATTTCAAGCAGCTTTAGAGTGTTATTTCGCATTTTTTAAACATCATAGCTTTATAAAAGAATCTTATCACATACTTTTGAAGTTTGTAGAATTGTTGCAAGCATATATAAATTCCAATCCTTCAACTGCGCTTCAATATATGGAAAAATATGTGGGAATTTTAATGGAACTCTCCGTTAAATTCAATTCTATTACATCGCTACAACAACTGGTACAGGGTATAGCTCTCTTGCAGCAAAAGGGTATTGCAATTAGCGAATTAAACGATGATGAAAACAAGAATGACTTTGAAATAGAGGAGCATGGAAATTCCAATGCATTTGTTTTACTGGATCCAGATTTATCTGATACAAACGCCATTAACCAATTTGAGAATAACCTCAGAGGGGGAGTCCAATTTGCTATTTCCACACCATTCCCAAAATCGCTCACATTTTCACAGCATTTTATGGATCTTATAACAGTGATAAAAAATTCAAGTACGGAAGAAGCTATTTTGGGACCTTTGCAAGAAATCGAAAGTCTTACATCGAAGCGATTCTCATTTTTAAATGAAATTTTCGATCGTTTACTTGAACTTATATTTTCTCCTAGTGCGCAGATACGCTCGAACGCGTTTATTCTTTTAGTTCGCCACTTGAAACATAACCCGGGCTGCTCTGACATAAACCAATGTACTCTTAACGCATATATTCAATGTTTGAGAGATGACAACTCATCGGTTGCCACTACTGCTGTAGACAACTTAGTTGAAATGACTTTACTCTTGCAAGAGTATACAATTGAAATACTTTCAATAGCTTTTACTTTAGGAGTTAAATCACAATTAAACACAAGTACTCAAATTAAAAGAGTTTTACAAACGCTAGTGTTACAGCATGGATACTAGAACTAAGTTATGCATTATTATTGCCAAAATGTACACACAAAGAATTCAATGGATGAAAACTAAGCACTTTGGTATCTAGACAAACAAAGCCGTATAAAGGAATAATAAACTACTTATTAAATCAAGGTCTGTCTTTTTATTTCTGGGCAAGTTTCGGGCCAATATGAGTAAGTATAAAATGCTCCTACGAAAGAGAGAAAATTAACCAAAAACCACGGAAACGCTAAATACCTATTTATTTTCTTACCTGAAACTAAACGCCATATCATGAAATTGAATTCCATCTTCTATAAAATCTTCATTTATGGAAAACTGAAAATCTGAGTTTCAGCAAACTGAATCAATAAAATAACTGAACCCAACCAAATCATATAAAAAAAAGCCAAATAAGAAACTAAGTTGATTTTTTACACTGAAGGAAACAAAAATTCAAGAAGTGTTTATTAATGGTAGTGCACAAATTAAGACATGTTTTTCAACAGATCAAGGCCATCCACAAAACGAATCTTTTGCTAGAACTCAAGCCGGATTTTTTTGCAGAAATGTGCTTTCATAACAGGGTAGAGTTAAACCGAGATGAAATTGATAGAATATTTATGTTGGATCTTCCTATCAACTAAAGGAGATAAAAGATCTGTGATATTTATTCACTTATGTATGTATATGTACATGAAAATGAATAGAAAGAGAAATGAATTTAAATTAATTGTTTTATAAGCACTGATGATACTTTGCCTTATTTGCATTGCTTCATTAGATAATTCCAAACTAATATTGCTCAGTAAACCTACAGCTGTTTCGCCTGTTTTATGGCTTAGCCCTAACACGTTTTGTACCACATCCATTACCTATTTCACCGCATTCTTATTTATAAAACCAAAAAATAAGATATTAATTGAATATATATCTGATATATCTGTATTTTTTACAACAACTGACGCGGTTTCGTCAAAACTGAACGGTTTGCGAGCATCCCGTAAATTTTTCTGTTAAAATTTTAAACACCTTGACTCCTCTAAAGCTTGATATACAGTTCAAAGTGAGCGTCATAGTGAACGTTCGCAAAGCCAAATAATTTCATTTGTATTCTTATGGACACTCACACACATCTGTCAAAACTTGCCGTTCACATGCGAATGCTTTGCGTACGCACACAGTTGAGTGTGAGCTCGAAAAAAGGCATATTATGCATTTTAAATTAGTTTTTATTCTATAATTCTGAAAGATATTTTAATTCTCTATCTTTTCATGTCTCAACTATAGCAAAAAGTTGGGTAATAACGAAGATATTGGTCAAAATAAAAAGCTCACGCTCGCATTGAACTGTATATCAGGCTTTATAAGGCTCTTATCGCAATGGAATCCACATTATTATTTAAATACTTAATTTGAAATTTTGTCGGACGAAAAATATGAATTTTCTTTCAATTGCTATCCACAAAATAAACAAAAAGGAGCTGAATTTCATTTAAAAATTTGGTAGCACCGATTCGAACGTAGTGTGCATATTTGGCAGCTTTAACTACGAAAACGTCGGATTTGCGAATAGCATTTTTCCCCGAATTTCTGACGGTAGTTCCGTTCACGACGGGAGTTCGTTCGTAATACAGAATAGGGCTGTTTATGATATTTGCTTCACTTATCACTCTAATGCTAACTACTCACGAGGCAACTGTTAAAGGAACATGCTGAAATCTAAAAAAAGAAAACTGATAAGGAGATGTGGTGATCTCCGAAATATCAGCTGGGTAATTCAGCGTCAAATCGGCCAAAGGTTGGACTCGACCTCTTTCGATTTAGACGAAATTCGGTCAGACGTTTTTTTTTCAACCTATAATGATTTTTGGATTCTAGGCTGATTGACTTAATGTGGTTGAGTGCAAGAAAAAATTTTCTTCACATTGCAGCCCGACGTTTCGCTAACTTTCTTAGCTTCCTCAGGGGCGATTTCTTTATTAAAAACATCAACAAAAGAAACAAGAAAAATATACAAAACATTAAAATATGCATATTGGATGTTAACATTTTACAAACAATAATAAAAATCACAGTGTTTGACAATTTCGAAACTTACATACATTTATATAAACACTTATTAACTATAATCACGATACATTTATCTGGTCACACTGAACTTAGAGCTAGTAGGTTTGATACCATCCTTGTGTGGTACACTCGTCATACTGATTGCCTATTACAAACATAACAGGTAAGCAGCCGCGACATCAACTGTCTTCTTTTTTGTTCATTGTTTTATCCCTGTTTTGTAAGATCCGCGTTAATCTTGTTTTTTCTCTTTTTTCCTTGTCTAATATCTTTACTTTGCCTAAATCAGCTCTGTGCCCACTTGTCAATATGTGTTGCGCTAACGCAGTGTTGTTCTTGTTCTTACGGATATCCGCTTCGTGCTCACTTACGCAAACTCCTAACGCTCTTTTCATGGTTCCGATGTATATTTTATTGCAAACTTCGTTCTCGCTTCCCTTGCATGCAATTTCGTACACTACGTTGTTTTGTTGGTGTGGCTCTACTATTGTTTTTGTTTTGGTAAATGTTAATGCTAATGAGCAGTTTGATTTATAAGCTAGCGCTGAGCTTTCGTTGTTTATATACTTCTTGTGGTTAAATTTCGTTTTCGCTTAATTTAGGCACATATGTGACGCTATATTATCGTTTCGTTCTCTTTGTTGTTTTTGTGGTTGATTTACTTTTGTGCTTGTTGATTTAATTTGTTTTCTGTTCGATGAGGCTTTTTATTATGTGCGCCGGGTAATTATTGCTCTTGAGTATATGGTTTATTTTCTTAATATTTTGTTCTTGAAATTGTATATATATTGGTATATTATATAGGTAGTTGATCAATCGTCCCGAGGATGTAGGTTTTGAGTACCAGCCGAGTATTAATTCGCTATTTTTCTTGTAGACTATTTCGTCTAAAACGGTATGCGAAGGTTGGTTTCCTTTTCTACAGTGAACTGCAGTTTATGGTGGTACTTGTTGAGTGTATTTAATATAATATCCACGCCGCTTCAGCAAAATACCAGCATATGTAAAAACAAGTTCCTTAACCTCCTGAATTTCTGTCTAAAAGACAATACCTATTTTGTGTGTGACAAAAGCTTGTACATACAAACGTTTGGAATGCCAATGGGAAACCCCCTCTCACCAACCATTGCTGACATAATAATGGATGACCTTCTAGACAAAAACCATTTTAGAACTTAAGGAAAAGTTCGACAGTGACATTAAATTTTTAGTAAAATACGTAGATGATATTTTTGCAATAGTGAGACGAAACGACGTGGATATTATATTAAATACACAACAAGTACCACCATAAACTGGAGTTCACTGTAGAAAAGGAAACCAACCTTCGCATACCGTTTTTAGACGTAGTAGTCTACAAGAAAAATAGCGAATTAATACTCGACGGGTACTCAAAACCTACATCCTCGGGACGATTGATCAATTACCTATCCTCGCAACCATCTAAATATAAAATCAATACAGCCAAAAACTTGATCCATAAAATCTTGACAATAAGCCATCAACAATTTCAAGAACAAAATATTAAGAAAATAAACCATTTACTCAAGAGCAATAATTACCCGGCGCACATAATAAAAAGCCTAATCGAACAGAAAACCAATGAAATCAACAACAAGCACAAAAAAAATCAACCACAAAAACAACAGAGAAGACGAAACGATACTATAGCTTCACATATGTGCTTAAATTAAGCGAAAAATTTAACCACAAGAAGTATACAAACAACGCTAGCTTATAATTCAAACTGCACATTAGCATCAACATTTACCAAAACAAAAACAATAGTAGAGCCACACCAACAAAACAACGTAGTGTACGAAATTGCATGCAAGGGAAGCGAGAACGAAGTTTGCAATAAAATATACATCGGATCCGCGAAAAGGGCGTTAGGAGTTCGCGTATGTGAGCACGAAGCGGACATCCGCACAGTGGGGCAAATAAAGTGGTCGTGGACAAATCAGTCCAGAGATCGCAATTTTCATCAAATTTCAAAGCCTTTTTTTAAATTAAAGCTAATAAAATTTCCTATCAATCTGTGGAAGCAAATTAAAAAAAAAATGTTTTTTTTTTTTAATTTACAGTATTTAAAAAATGAAAAAAAAAACATTTATAAAAAAGTGTAATTAAAAAAAAACAATACATTTATATTTACATAATGTATTTAAAGTAATACTGGGACTCCTTATAAATAATTTCGAGTAGTATTAAATGATTTAAATTTGTTTTATTTTGTTATAAACAATTAATTGACCACAGTGACTAAACCTATAAANTAAAAAAGTGTAATTAAAAAAAAACAATACATTTATATTTACATAATGTATTTAAAGTAATACTGGGACTCCTTATAAATAATTTCGAGTAGTATTAAATGATTTAAATTTGTTTTATTTTGTTATAAACAATTAATTGACCACAGTGACTAAACCTATAAAAAAAAGAGTTCTTTTTTATGCATATGAAGTATAATTCACGTATAAAATACGAATAGCAATGGTCTGCAGCAATGTTTATTACCAAAAATATTTTTTGTTTAATTTAAAAATATCTACTTTAGTATTTAAACTGTCTTTTAACTTTTATTACTAATGATTGATATATCTACTAATACATTATGAAATTTTTATTAAAGAAATTTATTTTAAATTATATTTACATAATTTTTTAAATAATAAAATATTTTCTGTGTAAATTTGTTAAAAATAAAACAAAATTGGAGTTTGTGTTTACTTTTTAACGAATAGTAGATACATTCATCAATAAAGATATCTGAAATAACCTGCCAAGAAATGATTATTCGATCTGCGGCTAGATGTGTGGCGCTCTCACAGTGGACGTTAAGGAACAAAATTATAAATACTTCCTAGCGTTTACAAAGATTTACATTTGCCTATCTTGGCTCACCTTACGCAGGTAGGTGCATTCAATTTAATTGTTCTTTGTAGTTAATTTAATCTTTTTTCAACGATCATTCGCTTCTTATTTTTTGGTTTAATTTCATATATTCGAGAATTTATGTGACAAGTTTTACTTATATCTATTGAGGTTCAAGTAATGCAGGTAGGTACATTTTCCT